CCCCAGATTATGAAAAAGACGTTCATCTCATCAATACCTTCTACGACACAAGACATTCTATAACTATTATCCTTCTGTCCTAAATGTCATGATTTAACACAAGGCATGGGATGTGTATCCTTGTATAGTTAAATCAGCTGTTACTGAATCTCAAGTAGACTGGCAGGGATCAGATATTTATCAGTCTCTAGATAGTGACATATCTCGGCATGGCCATGCACTTTCCCAAGTCCTACTATTCAGTGGGCTCATTGACATTATACTTCTATACAGTAGAAGGGACAGATCCTGTATCTGTTATTCACATCTCTAAATATGCTTAGCGGCATACCCAACGCATAACTGTACGTCTACCAGTATTTCAGATAGCATTAGTTATGAATCAAAGCATACGGCCCCACACATCAGAGAATGTAATAACCTCAAGTCTGAGGATAGTTATAGCAAGGTCGATTTGAGAATACTGATAAACACATTACTGTAGATCCATGCAGTATTCTCAAGATGGGTCAATCCAGTCACATATTATCGATATAATATGCACCTACGTACAGATTAAGATATCACAATACCTATAGTCTATGAGACGCAACTATCTCATCTCGTACGTACTAGTCTTGATATGTTATGACGTCCGTATTATCATAAAGTGCGACTAGGGATATTCTAGACATAGCCTTCGTCAAGAAGTAACAGTCTCATAATCAGAACATCGTAGTCCTCATCTATGTTACTAAAGCGCTATCGTCTATGGACTGAAGCTATGTTATGTTACACGAGATATAAAACATACTTCAAGGCCTTTCATTCATGATAAAGTGTACAGTTACATAGGTATTTGATTGCCGCTAGGGCACCTAAATACAACACATGGAGTGTGTTACCACTGCATCCTTCTCACTTTCTATTAATGGAGGCTTGCATGGCTTCAATAAATGCAAAAGAGGTATTAGACAGGGTGACCCCATGGCCCCAACTCTGTTTCTTTTCTGCATGGAATACCTCTCAAGGCTGATCAGGAGAATGCTATATGGGAGCAGATTCACTTTCCATAACAGGTGCTCCAAACTGGGTATTACTCATGTTACTTTTGCTGATGATGTGATGATGTTTTGCAGGGGAAATGTGGATTCTGTCAATGTTTTGGGAAAATCTATTTAAATCTTCTCCCAAGTATCTGGCTTGCATGTGAACCCTCTCAAATCCAATATCTTCCTGGCTGGAGAGATCAAAGACAGGAAAGAGGATATCCTAGCTTTGGTGCCTTTCCCTCAAGGTAAACTGCCTGTTAGATACCTAGGACTCCCCCTTACCTCACAGAGAGCCTCTGAAAGAGACTTTGCTCCACTTGTTAATAAGGTGGATGAACATATCAGAAAATGGAATGCCAAAACCCTATCTGCTGTTGGAAGATTGGAACTCATCAGATCTGTTATCCAAGGAATTGAAGGATTTTGGTTCCAAGCTTTCCCTATTCATAAATCTGTCTTGGATAGGATAACCTCCATTTGTAGAACTTTCCTTTGGGGGAGCAAGTTCTGTAAGGTTGCTTGGGAGGATATCTGCAAGCCCAAGGATGAAGGGGGGCTTGGTTTGAACCAGCCCATTATTTGGAATCAGGCACTTTTGAGCAAGAATCTGTGGAATATTGCCTCTAACAAGGAAACCCTGTGGGTGCAATGGGTTCACTCTGTTTATCTTGATGGCAATGACTTTTGGACTTGGAGCCCTGGGAAAAAGGACTCTCATTTCTTCAAGAAACTGATTGAAATCAGGGACTTGCTGCTACTCAAGTGTGGGGACAGATGGGAACTTGAAAATCAGCTTTGTGACCTGGGTGAAATATCAGCTACCAAGGTGTATGACTTACTTAAAACCAGGGCAGTGATGAGACCCTGGATGAAGGCTATTTGGAAATCCTACATCCCACCCAGATACTCCTTCTGTGCTTGGTAGATCTTCCATAACAGAATTCCTACCTAAACTAGCCTTCATTTCATTGCTATGGAGAATAGATTATGTGAACTCTGCCACACAGAGGAGGAAACTGGTCAACATCTCTTTTTCAACTATGAAACCTCCACACTCATCTGGAATGCTGTCAGATCATGGCTTGAGATTGCCCCTGCCTTGTCTAACCTGGACAGAGCCCTTACCTGGCTAAGGAGACTGGGGAATAACCATTGCTCTAGGAGGAAGATGACAAGGCTGGCTATTCTCAGTACAGCCTACCACATTTGGATATTAAGGAATGATGTGTATTTTGACAACCAGACCATAAATATTGATGCTATTGTGTGCAAGATCAAGGTGGGGGTTTTTAAAATAATGAACAGGTTATATCCCAATGGTGTTTAAGACCTCCCCCCCCCTTGGATATCTCTGATTGGACTCCGTGGATGATGCTTGTGACTCTTGTGCTGACCCTCCCTATCCTTGTTGAGGATTGGTTTGGAATTCACCTTGGTTGGATGCTGGACACATGATTAACACTGGGGACCCTTTGGGTAATTGGTGTTATCCCTATGCCCAATTTCTTTGGGGCTGGAAACATTTCAAATGTTAGAAACCCTCTTTTGAGGGTCTCTAAACCTTTTTATGGGTCCTTGGGGGGTGGTTTGGTGGGAAACAAACCAGGCTATGCAATTCCCTTCTGGAATTGTAGAGACTGGCTTGGGTCCAGGGTTCTTCACTCTCTCTTTTCTGTTCCCCCCCCCCCCTCCTCCCCTTCTTTTCTTATCCTTCACCTTCCTCCTCTCCCCACTCTTCTAGGAGACAAGTTAAATAATATGTGCCAAATCACTCCTTGGATTTGATACCTGTTAGTTTAACTTGGCTCCTCCCCTGGGTTGTTGGGCTCCTGATAGCTTGGGTGCTTTTGGGGTGTGGAAACAAACCATACCCTATCTACCCCTTCTAGATAGGTAGGGAATGGATTGGATCCAGGGCTGGAGGGTGCTTTTACCCTCTTTTCTTTCTTTCCCCCCTCTCCCCCTTCTTCCTTCTTCTTGCTTCTACCTCCTTCTTCGTCTTCCTCCTCTTTTCTCCCTTCTTCTGTTTCTAGAAACACACTAAGTTTCACTCATCCAAACCCTCTTTGTTTTGATGTTTGGAGGTTGGTGTGTCTTCCCTCTAGTGCTGGGTGGGTTGAGGCCCCATTGGTTTTGTGGACAGGTGGGGTTGTGAGGAAACAAACCAACCTCTATTAACCCCTTCTAGGTAGGTAGAGATTGATTTGGGTCCTGGTTTGTTGGTGTTCCACACCTCTCCTTTTCCTTTTCCACCCCTCTTTCCCCTTCTTCATTCTCTTGCTTCTTCCTCCTCCTTTGTTTCTCTCTCTTTCCTTATCCTCCTTCTTCTGACTCTGGGAACACACCTGGATGCACATACTTATACCCCTCTTTTGGTTGAGTGACTACAGACTGGTGTGCCTCCCCCTATTTTTCTGGTTTCATCTTGGATATGTGTGTGGGTGAACTGGATAACTTGTTTCTGGCTTTGCTTTGTGATCCCTCTCATCAGGGATGAGCACCATCACCTTATGCCTGAGTTACTCCATCCTAGCTCATTTGTGTGAGACAGGTTTTGACTTGGTTCTATTCGGTGCAAATGGTCCTTTGGTGCTTCTAAACCTCTGATGGATTTGGTCCTGCTGCTATTGTGTCTTCACCTGTGTGAAACAGATTTCAGTCTTGGATACTTCGATGGTTCTTCATCTCTGTCTACTACCTAGCTAGCTGTACATGGATCTGTGGTGCTGTGATGCTGTGTGCCTTGATTATATGCCTACAATGTGATTAGGGCCTAATGTTTCTTGCCTTTTCCTGCTGGAAGCTTTGAACTGGCCCCGGTTTCTGCAAGTGGAATGGAATGGCCCTTGCCTAGTCAGTGCACCTCTTCTGGATTGTTGGTGGCGCACATTTGTTTCAATTTGTATTTGATGCAATGGAGATGTTTGTCTCGTGTTAAGACAATCTCTTAAACTTGGCCTTGGTTAGATTGTACTTGCATTTGTTAGTGTTCTGTATTTGTATGTGTTACACTTGAGTTGTAATTTCTTTTGTATGTAGCTGTAACTTAGGCAAGTAACCACTTTGTGGTGAAGCTGTTGACACTTTATATTTGTTTGATTTGGGTAATAATAATTTACATGTTACCCGTTGAGAGCCATTTTTTATGAAGCTTGTGTTTTGTTCTTGAGCGTTCTTAGTTACTCATTATCCACTCTAAAAGAGAGTATTGTTCTTGAGTGTTTTTAGTGTTCTTAGACACTTGACAAGAGAAAATATTTCTCTTGTTGTTCGAAGGAAGGGTTGTTTCCTTCGAAGGTTCGTTGAGGTTCGTGAGACTCGAACTCTCAAGTTGTATGGGTTTGTTAAGCACCGTTAAGCTTAATGAGATAGTAGTGTAGCTCGAGAGAGTCTCTCGGGAGGCTGGATTAGCCACAAGTTGTGGTGAACCAGGGTAAATTCGGTGTGCCTCTTACTCTTCTCTTTACTTCTCTTTTATTTATTTCTAATTCCTACAATTTCTTGATCAAACGCTATTCACCCCTCCTCTAGCGTTGGTCTATTATTCTAACAACAAGGCCCGGTAAGTGGATGACTTCTTGATGGGTATATCCTTATACCCGACCCGGAAACCTGAAAGGGACAGGTCAAAACATGACCGGTCACTTTTTATCAATCACCAAATGAGGTTAACTCTTCGATTGGGACGGGTCAAAAGTTGACCGGTCACTTCCTTTAAAAAAGTGACCAGTGACATTTTGGGCGATAGCCAAAATGTCGCCTAATGCTACGAAGGACATTCTAGAAGATCAAAGAGACGAGTTGAGCGCAAGAAATGACCGGGTAACCTTTGAGAGAGGGTGACCCGGTCATGGTACTTTACTTGGCTAACATTGGACCAGCATCTTGAAAGCGGCTATCAGCATCAGAGACTAGGGGACCACCCCGCCGATCATCCATAACAAGGCAAACAGTGAAAGGGATGTTTGTCATCTTGCAGGGTTGATTGGATTGAGAATATCAATGTTATAGTCATTGATTGAACAGTGTTTCTTGGTTGTATTAGTAGATAGTCTATGATTGAACAGTGATTAAATTAGGTACAGTGACCTTCCTCCTGGTTTCCTATTTTGTCCATGGGTGAACAGGGGAAGGTCACAAATCCTCCTCTATAAATATGATGATATTGGATAGAGGAGGGGGCCATTCTTTATCTCACTAAAAACAGTACACTCTTGAGATAGAGTAAGAAATATAATTCGGACTCAAGAGATTTACCCGGTCTAGGTCATACTTTGTGTTCTTGTTGTGTGTTTTATATTACGGGTCAAGTGTGTCCAGGTCAGATTCGGTCAACCCACCCATCTTTATTTACACCATCAAAAAAATCTACAAAACTAGAGGTAACATGACTTTATTATTTTATCAAATGAGTGACGAAAATAGGCAACAAGGTGAATAAAGTTTGACTCTGTGAATAGTGAACGGAAGTTTATTTATGGACAGAGGGAGTACTTTAGTATACTTGTAACATAAAAAATACTCCCTCCGTCCCCCAGTTTTTGTCCACTTTTGACTTTTGGAACTTTTCATCTAAGCCCTTTGACTCATCAAATTTTTCTCAATGTGTAAGCCTAAATATAGTCATGTGTGATCTTGTTTGATTTGTCTTAACATATAGATTATTAATATATAATTTTTATAATTTTTTAATATACAAATTACAAGATAAAATGGATTAAAAAATTTCATCGGATGGTGTGTAAAAATGAAAGTAGACAAAAACTGTGGGACGGAGGGAGTAGGTGTTTTATAAAACATAAAATACCTATGATGGGTGTATTCCACCAAGAACCGGTCAAGGAATACGCTTAAATATCCAATCGGTCAATGTTGATTTTTTGGAATGGAGACCTAAATCGTTAGTAAAAAGATGCTTGGTTGACAAGAAATTTGACCGGCACACTTCGGATAGTCTACCGGTCAAATTATTTTATCCCCTTATTCATCTCCAAATTTCAATAAACCCATCCTTTAGAAACCACACGGTATGATTTCTAGGATTGGGAAATGTCGGCAAAGAAGAGTCCAAATGAGCTTGGACTGTAGTGACCATGTTCAACAGAAAATCATTGGAGATACTTGAGTAATCCATCCAGGATACTACACAACAAGGAAGCCACCTTCCTCACTAGATGACAAGGTCACTAAAGGACAAGTTCTGACGTGGATGTGTGGCGCGTTGTCTCTTTTAGCTACTATAAATATCTGTGTAACCCTCAAAGGAAGGAATCAGATTTCTTCTCACTAAAACTCCTGTGTAAAAGCTCCCGTGCACTCTACTATATTCAAAATATTAATTGGGCTACAGGTGTTTCCACCTACAGTCCTCCCAGTTACTTTGTGTGTTTTTACCTTTACTTTCTCGAATCTAGTAAACAATTCTAGACCCAGTCTAGTACTGTTTACCCGGTTAGATAATTTACACCATCATTTTTGGCGCCACCCGTGGGCCTGTGAAGGTTTATTTTCCCATCCATACACAAAACCTACTCACGAAACACCACTTTGAAAATGTCTTCAAGCCAGTAGAACAACACTACTTCTGCCCCAATGCAAGCCACCATTGAGGGAGTCACCATCCTCGTGGTAATTTGTCAACCGGCTAACTCTGCCTCTGTGGTGTCGATGGGTTTGGGCCCCATCCCTACACCGAGCATTGTTGCGCCATTCGCAATCCCCGTCCCTTCTGCCGGCAAAGGGTCACTTTCCCGCAAAGCATGACCCAATTTCTAAACGACCCGGCCAACTTGCAGGCTATCCAAGGCTTTGGCCAGGTCATGGCCATGTGTTGACAAAATGGAGGAATGCCATTCCTCCCGGGAATGTTCCCCTTTGCTTTACCAGGCACTCGAATAATGCCATTGCAAGCCCTGATGGCGGTGTCTCCCTTCGAGACACCGGTTCCACAGCCATCACCTTCCCGCCGCAGGTGGTCAGTGCTGTGGCCCTATTAACTTTACCGGTGCACTCAACGTCGCTGGTCCATCACACCCTTTGAAGAGTACTCGCCACCTGCAGAGCACTTCGGACGATAATTGCGTCTCTGTTGAGAGTGATGACAGTGAGTGGGACATTCCCAGAGCCCACAAGAAGAAGAAGGGTAAGATCCTAAGACCGGAAACTTCCCGTGACTCTACCTTCGAAAGGCTGAGGTATAGGGAGGATGGTCAAAGAAAATCAGCCAGGCTGAGATTGGGGCAGAGTGTGGCCCATGTCAGTGCCTTTGCCTTGTTATGCGATGGGAGGGAGGCCGAGGCTACTCATATCTAGCGCACTCGGTCAAACCAGCCCAAACTCGCGAAATCGATGGTTTCGCGCCAGGAAGAAGAAGCTGAGAGCCAGCCCTATGAGCTCGTGAGGATTCGGCTAACTATCCCAGGAGATCGCGTCCAACACATGGAGGCAAAGCTGGAAAGGCTGGAGAAGAAAGTGGGGGAGAAGAATGACCAGGAAAAACCCCTAGTTGGTTCCCCATTCACTGCAAGGGTCCACTTGACAACATTTCGCGGAAGGTCAAGGTGGACGCACCAAGGTTCACCGAGAAGAAGGATCCCAAAATTCACTTGGACTCCTTCAATCAAAGCGCGACAATGAATGGCTGCACAGATGAAGAAAAGTGCCTCCTTTTCTTCCTAACCTTGCGAAATCGGGCCACAGAATGATTCAATAAACTTTGTCTAGGGAGCATTGACTCATTCACAAAACTGGCCTCCAAAGAGGAAACAGTTCACCTACTTAAGTACAGCCGGTCAGAGGGAATCTGAGAACCTCACTCAGTTCCTTACCCAGTGGAAGGACGAGGTGGACAAAGTCGAAGAAATGGATGCTAAGACAGTCTTGTCTCTCCAGTTGAACGGGCTGCGAGCAGGGGAACTATACAAAGAGTTCTGCCGGAAACCACCAGCCACATATCAAGAGACCTACCACACAACGTGGGAATTTGCTTAGGCCGAGACCCAGCTTCGGGCAAAGAAAGAAGCTGAGCACGGTTTCAAATCCAAGCCACTCCAAATCAAGAGGGAAGATGCACCAGGACAAAGCAAGACAAGGCATCATTATGACTTGGTCATTTGAGTGGTAAATAGAGAAGAGTGCCATGAATTTAGGAAGGCACTGGTCAATCCTACCGGTAACCTGGGACGTGAGTTGTTGGACACGTATTGTTCGTACCATAAATCTGATTCCCATAACACTTCAGAATGTAAAAGTGTTAAAGGAGTCATCGGGTAGATGATCGATAGTGGAGAACTGGGAAAGGAGTATTTGCAAAAGGCCTAGGAAAAGAACCACCAGTGGGTAAGGCCGGAAGCCCAAGGAAATAACGGGGACAGTGATCGGCGGAAGAATGATTAGCGAAGAGACCGAAGGCTGGCTCCATACAAAGAGCACCTTGGGATGATCTTTGGCAGACCGGAGGGTGGAGATTCAGCCGCGCAGTGGAAGAGCTTGGTCCGGAGCATCTATGTCGGAGAGACCGGGCATCATTGAATCAATCATCTTCAACGACCGGGACCTTCCAATCACCATCAATGACCATAATGATCCTTTGGTCATCACCATGGACATCAACGGGGTTGATGTCGCCTAGGTATTAGTTGACACAAGCAGCAGTTTCAATGTATTATATCTAGAAACTTTTTAGAAACTCAGGTTGTGTCAGACACAACTTGAACCTTTGAAAACTCCTCTCTCAAGCTTCACAGGTGACACCGTGGACGTTGAACGATCGATCATCCTATAAATCGAACTAGGATCTGGGGATAAAACCCTATGGAAAAAGATGCAGTTTATTGTTGTGGATATTAAATGTGTCCACAATGCAATTTTGGGAAGACCGGGCATCATCAAAGTTCGGGTTGTGATCTACATGCCCCACCTCTGCATGTCGTCCATATAGATCTTAACTAATAGGAGATCTTCTCCATCTTGTAGTTTGAACAATGTCTTGTCAATTATTCCTTTGGTAAATCCATTGTCTATAAGAAATTGAGACAATGTATCATACCAAGCTCTTGGTGCTTGTTTGAGTCCATACAGCGCCTTTTTGAGTCTATACACTTGATCTCCCTTAGTGTGTAACTCAAATCCTGAAGGTTGTTCCACATACACTTCTTCCTCTAGGTTTCCGTTGAGAAATGCACTTTTGACGTCCATTTGATAGACCTTGAAGTCCTTATGAGCAGCAAAGGCTAGAAACAGCCTTATAGCTTCAAGTCTAGAAACTGGAGCGAAGGTTTCATCAAAATCTATACCTTCTTCTTGACAATATCCTTTTGCAACTAACCGGGCCTTGTTTCTGACAACAACTCCGTTTTCATCCATCTTGTTCCGGAAGACCCACTTTGTCCCAATGACATGTTGATGAGTAGGTCTGGGAACAAGTTTCCAGACATCATTTCTGGAAAACTGGTTGAGTTCTTCTTGCATTGCATTGATCCAATCAGAATCAGCTAGAGCTTCTTCAATATTCTTTGGCTCTACTTGTGAGATGAAACAAGCAAGCATAGCTTCTAGATTCTGTTGGGCACTCCTTGTGCGAACACCAGATTGTATATTTCCGATGATCTGTTGAGGAGGATGATTCCTTAACCAACGAAGATTGTGTTGATTGGGATTGACTGGTTGATTTAGTCCAGCTTCTGGTTGAAGAACAGAAGTTGTTGGTGTTTCCGGATGGATTCGCACTGGGTCGCCATTTCCGGAATTATCGCCGTTTGAGAGATCTGGAATATTGGAAGGCTGGCCAATATTTCCGGAGGGCTCAGCACTGTCTAAATCCGGATTTCTCTGTGAAGTCTTCAGAGGCACACTTTTGAATGGAATAAACTCCGTGGGCTTCATTCTATCTCCTTCATTGACTTCTTCATCCTTGTCTGATAGATCCAGAACCTCATGGTCATGCTTTGACGGCTTGTCAACCACATGTTTTTCATCAAAAATAACATGTATTGACTCTTCCGTGATCATGGCTCTTTTGTTGAAAACTCTGAATGCCTTGCTCATCATAGAGTATCCAAGGAAGATGGCTTCATCTGATTTTTCATCAAAAGTGTTCAGATGATTCTTCCCGTTGTTTAACACAAAGCACTTGCTCCCAAAAATATGGAAATATGATATATTAGGCTTTCTCCCATTCCACAGTTCATAGGGAGTTGTTGTGCCTTTTATAAATCATACTCCTATTTTGAGTATAGAAGGCTGTGTTAACAGCTTCAGCCCAGAACCTCTTTGGTAAGGAAGCTTCTGCTAGCATGGTTCTCACTGCTTCCTTCAGGGTTCTGTTCCTTCTTTCAGCTACACCATTTTGTTGAGGTGTCCTTGCTGCGGATGTCTGGTGAAGAATTCCGTTTTCTTCAGAGTAGTGAATGATGATTTCATTTAGGAATTCTATGCCTTTGTCAGATCTGATCTTCTGAATGGTCTGACTTGCTAGGTTTTGAATCAGCTTCATGCAGTTGGTGAGTTTCCCTTGAGTCTCCTTCTTGCTGTTGAGGTAGATTGTCCACGTGTATCTTGGGTAATCATCAACTATCACCAGGACATATTTCTTTCCACTTAGACTTATTGGTGTAACAGGGCCAAATAAGTCCATGTGAATAAGACTTAATATCCTTGTAGTTGAGGGTGCCGATTTTGCCTTGAAGGTGGACTTGACTTGCTTTCCTTTTTGGCAAGCATCACAAATACTTTCCTTTCTGAATGCAGCTTTGGGAAGACCTTCTACTAACTCTTCTTTGGAAAGCTTGTTGAGGGTTTTGAAGTTGAGATGACTCAACCTCTTATGCCAAAGCCATAGAAGGTTAGTGTCACCTTTGCTGATTAGACATGCTTCCTTGACATCGCTCCATATTACTTCATAGATGTTTCTGATTCTCTTCCCAGTGAGAATGACTTCATTTGTGGAGATGTTCTTGAGAGATGCCATATTCTTGCAGAATTCCAAGGAGTAACCTTTATCACAAAACTGACTTATGCTAAGAAGGTTATAATTGAGTCCTTCAACATAAGATACAACTTGGATTGTTATTCCCTTGTACACCAGATTTCCTAGCCCTTTAGTGAGGCCGAAATCATTGCTTCCTCCAAAAGTAACTCTTGGACCATCATAGGAAATTAGATTGCTCAAAAGGCTCGCATCACCCATCACGTGTCTTGAACAACCACTGTCTAAGTACCAGACACCTGGGTACTTAGCGGCTTCCTGCATTAGGAGGAGGAAGATTTTGGTACCCAATTAAGTTTGGGCCCGGAGTAGTTAATGGTGTGTGTCCCTACATCAAGTTTGAAGTTGCAGGGAATCTTACTTGCAGCTCTAAACTTGTTGGGATTGTAATCATAGTTGTAGGCATAAAACTTTCTACGTGCAGGAGGTGCTATTTCCTGTTTCCTCCTAGCAAACCTAGGTTGATAAGACCTATAGTTCTGTCTAGGTTGTGCATAGTGTGTCATGTGTCGGTTATATGCATACTTAGGTGGCACAAATAGCTTCTAGGGTGGAGGGTGACTATATCTTAGTATAGTTCTCCACTCAGAATTTCTTGGAAAACTCCTGTCTACCCCATAATGAGTATAGCCTCGTGTATAATGGGGTTTAGAAGGTTTTCTTCTGAAATTATTTTCTTTTTGAGGTCTGTCCAGCTTCCTATAGTTCTCAGGAGGGACTACCTTTTTGGGAACTTCTGTTGGTTTCTCCTTTTCCTTCCCTTTCTGCTTATTAGGTTTGGCAGTAGGTTTAGGAGGGATGAAAGTTGTCTTCCCTTTCCTTTTGGAACTAGAGGAGTCAAACCCAAGTCCTTTGCGACCCTTATGTTTGGTCGTTTCAAGCAGCTTGTTCACTGCTTCTTGGGACTTGAGTATCCCTAGCTCTTTGTTAAGGGATTTAACCTTTTCAGAGAGAGATTCATTTTCAGTTTTGAGTTGAGTGTGATCTCATCGAGTTGACTTTTCCGACTTTCAGTCAACTTGAGATTCTCTTCACTCAATAGTTTGTTCTCTTCTGTTAAGGATGTGTGTTTGAGATTTATCTCCTCAAAGTCTTTCATCATCTTTTTGAACTGGTCAAAAAGATTTTCAGAAGTTGGTGTGCTATAAGAAGATGAGCAGGAGGTTTGTGAGGTTACCTCTTGA